TGTAAATACTGTCATACTAACAGCTGTCTGAATTATTTTTGGTTGTTTGTAATCCATTACATACCTTTCTATCAAAGTTATCTAACATTATCAAGCTGAATTTGTTCTAACACAGTTTAACTCTTGAGTTCTTGTTATATTTTATTACCATTTTCGAAACTATAGTGAATAAACTGTGATAATGTGAGAAATGTTGAAGGTGTCTGAATAAATTTTGGTTTGACTGTATCTATTTGATAAATGAAGTTAACCAACTAACATTATACATACTCTTTTGGTTTCTGTACCCAATATTTTAAAAATGTACAAATGCAATAAAAATATTGGTATCGGTACTCGGTATCGGCAAGTACCAAAAATAAAAGTATCGGTATCGGGCGAGTACTGGAAAAAGTGGTATCGGTGCATCCCTACTGAATACAATCTTTTATTTGTTTAAAAAAGTATATAAACCAAAAAGTAGTATGCTACAAATACATTTAGTAAATAAACTGTGCACAGCAAATTACTTTCTTTCAAAAATAGTATGCAATATGCCATTGCAAATATATATATTTCTCCTCTTTTTGCATGTTTTTTTTTCTGTGTGAGTCTGAGGAGGTTTGAATGATATTTTGTGCACTTTTATATTTGCTTTAGATCTCGACACAACAGAGATAAATCACTAAGTAATGTGAGTTGTGCCTTTCATCCAGCTGCTCTGTGAATCTGTTTTAATGTGCGACGCGTGTTTGTGCATTCACTGCATTCAGTGCTTACACAATAAACCCAGTGCTGCTGTCATATCCAACCAGTCTAGGACCATATGAAATATTATTACAATTTAAAACAGCTGTTTCATACATGAATATATTTTAAAATGTAATTTACTCTTATGTTTTTTGATGCTTTTTCCCCACTTCAGGCTGCTTTATTTGATCAAAAAATACAGTAAAAACAGTAATATTGTGACATGTTATTACAATTTAAATTAGCCGTCTTGTATTTGAATATACTATCGGCATCGGTATCGGCAAGTACCAAAAATAAAAGAATCGGGATCGGGCGAGTACTGGAAAAAGTGGTATCGGTGCATCCCTAATTATTAATATTGAAAACAGTTGTGCTGCTTCTTTAGTCCACTCTTAGACTACTGCAAACCTGAACATGCACAAGAGCGAGAGCGAGAGAGAAGACGAGAGGAGAGAATGATCATGTCTCAAGGTGCTCAGTGGAAGATTTCCTAAGGCAAGGCGAGAAAAAATTTATATATGTAATAACATGAGCTCATTGGTTTGGATTCCGGGGTAATGGAGCGAACACTCTGGGAATGTTTCTCTACACACTGATATACCTTCACTTTCAGCAGCTCTATTCATTCCTAATGCTTTACTGATATAGAACGTAAGCCTCTGAAACGCCTCCGTCTATATTAACGACTGAATTAAAGCTCTTCTGTTGCTTTTAATGACACGCTGAAGTGTTTTCCACTCAATATTGACACAGAGACGCTCCACGTACTAATGGGAATATTAAGGCAGAATAAAAGCTGCAGCACAAACGCTCCACACCAAATGTCCTTCAACATTTCCCTTTCAAAAAATATCTCAGACCTTGATATAGAGTGTTAATGTGAGAAACAAGAAAGTAAATGTAATATTGCTGTTGAAATGTATAAGTGTCACATTCGCAGCAAGAACACACTCACACAGCACACTCTAAAAGTCATATGAACTACTTTCATGATGTTTTTATATATCTTTCTGTCCGTTTTGGATTTTGTTCTTTATTCCTTTATAATAAGTTATATAATGTGTAAAAAATATATATATACACACACACACACACACACACACACACACACACAATTTTAATGTATTTTATATATAATTTTATGTATGCAAATTAATAAATTCAATTAATTAAAATAAAAATAAAACATATGCATAACAATTTATAATGATGTTAATTATATAATTATATTAATTTAATGTATTATTATTAATAGTAATAAAATATACATTTGAAAAAAATAATACAAGAATTTTATATAATAATAAAAAATAACAAAAACATTAATAAAAATAAAAAATATAATTTATAATTTATTATAATTATTTAAAAGTATATATATATATATATGTATGTATGTGTAACAGTCATAAGGGTCAAATTTTATTTTTTTTTGATATTTCTACATCATCTCAAAGCTGGATAAATAAGCTTTCCATTGATGTATGGTTTGTTAGGATAGGACAATATTTGGTCGAGATACAACTATTTGAAAATCTGGAATCTGAGGGTGCAAAAAAATCTAAATATTGAGAAAATCATCTTTAAAGTTGTTCAAATGAAGTTCTTAGCAATGCATATATTACTAATCAAAAATTAAGTTTTGATATATTTACAGTAGGACATTTACAAAATATCTTTATGGAACATGATCTTTATTTAATGTCTTAATGATTTTGGGCATAAAAGAAAAATCTATAATTTTGACCCATACAATGTATTTTTGGCTATTGCTACAAATATACCCCAGCGACTTAAGACTGCTTTTGTGCTCTAGGGTCACACATTTAATACTATTCCTTTAACAAAAGCACATCCAAACATCATATTGCACTTAAATAAAGAGTTGTGATGTGTTATACAGAACAGAATGATCTTGAAAGCTGTGCTTTCCAAAGCCTTGATGGATTTAGTCTGGGTTTGTGTGTGGATGTGCTGATTAGTGTGGATCTGGAGTAATTAGTGCGATGGGTCATGAGTGTTTACTGCAGTACAGATCAAACCATTAGACAACAGATTTGAGAGGGGGAGCCAGAACGTCTCATACCAACTCACACACACACACACACTCTTACAGCAGACGATCCATCACAACACATTTCCTACATGCACGCATGCTCAAACACACTGCAATATGGCAGCAGACACACATCTGCCGTACCTGTTCATACTTCAGTTCCCTGAAACTCAGGAGGTGACCTGAGAGACAAACACACACGTTTCCCGCGGATCTTACCGCAAACTGCTCAAGCGTGCGACCGTATGGCCATTTTAGGAAAATGCTTTGTTTTGAACTCATTTAATGTCTCCTCAAAGATGCTAATTATAAACATTTAGGCCAGAAACACACTAAAGTACACAAACATAGATGCAAGCGCATTGAGAGCACGCTGAACTGTTGATCGGTGCATATTGCTAAAAACATCAGGATATTGTAAATTAAATGAAATCAGATCAAGCTTGATATAAACGAGTCAACACTTGAACTAACTTGAACTAACCTGCTGCGTTCAGGCTAATACCCGCTATAGTGCTCGTTTGCGTTGTTGTGAGGATGCAACAGTATTTGTGTAACATTACACATTGCAGGGGAATTTCAAAACGCATCCATGCATTAAATCAACACAGTCCTGAAAAACCTGGAAATATCAGGGAATTTGTGATATCCATTCATGGAAAAGTCACGGGGGTTAATACAATTTTAAAAGGTCACGGAAATGTCATCGAAATCACCTTTAGTCAATATCAATTTCACAAGATATATTCAGTATTTCTTCAGGTAAAAACTCATAACTGGAAAACGTCTTGGAATGATATATAATCCAATCAAATTCCGATGGATAAAATCCAGTCTTACATTATTTTGCACTAAATATTCGAATGCCACACAATGCTGCTGAACGTGTTGCGAACACTATTTCTGCGTTTAATGGCTGCAGAGACGCGGTCAGGTCCACAGATACAGTGAGTGATGAAGAGAGGAGAAGAGGAGCAGATGTGAGGACGCAGTGCTTCTATTTCAGCGAGCAGAGCAAACACAAGGACACAATCTGGACACACAAGAGAAGAGCCTATCATTCTCCTCATCCACTCCATTTCATAGAGCCATATGATTCAGATGATGATGAGGAGCCGGCGGATGAGGCATGAGCTGATAAGACCTCGAGACGCATTAAATACAGCCAGCGTGTGAATCTCACCAAACCTGTCAAGAATAGCACTGCCTCATATTTCATTTTAAGATAAAAAGAAGAAGATTTTGTATAGCATAAAGAAAATGAAGTCTATTTTTAGGACCATTAATATTTTTGCATTAGTTTCATCTTAAGCTGATTTTTTTTTTTATCACAATTTGCATTTATGTAATAAATTACAATTATTTACCACCAAATTTTTCATTCTCAAAAATATCATTCTTTTTACTGTAATGGGAATTGTATTATATTTAATTTAATTATGTTTTCCTTCATTTTCTGAATTGTTTTATAATTTATTTTTAGTATTTATTATTACATTTTATTACAAATTATTGTAATGAGATCATTGTCACTGAGAATAATAGATATTAAAACGTTAAAAAATAAATACTCTTTTTTATTTATTTGTATTATTTAACATCTATATTTTATGGGGTTTTTGTATTTTTTACATTTTAATTTATTATATTATTTTTCCTATTATACATTATTTATTTTTAATATTCATTTTTACATTTTACATTTTAAAACTCCTGATTCATTGTATTGAGGGAAAATGTGCTTAAATGTAATAAAAATTAAATAAAAATGAAAAGCAACCAAATAAATTAAATGTCACAATGTAAATAAATAAATAAATATTCTGAAAATAAACATCATTGTCTTTACATAAAATATTTTCTTCGTTTAATAATTATTAAATTTTTTCTTTTGATTTTAGAAGTATGACCCAGACGTGTTAACCCAAGTAGGACATTTCGGGGTGTTTTCTCAGAACAGATAGACAGCGAGCTGAAAGGAGACAGAACAGAGACGCCGAGCGTCCACAAACGTGACAGAGAGCGGTGAGTCTGCCCTGCAGCTCTGACTCAAACATTTGTCACGTCACAACACGAGTCCTGGGCCTCTGATAAAGCAATCCCGCACACTTTATTTCTGTTTGAGGTGAAGATACGGTCACACACACACACGCACGCATGCACGCACACACACACACACACACACACACACGGTCGGTTAGTTGGCGATTACCTCTCTGTCCTTGAGTTTCATGGCCAGGACGAGCTGGTGTCTGTGGTTGCTCAGTGCCTCGCGGTAATTCCCCTTGGAGAAGAAGGCCGAGCCCAGGTTCCCGTGAGCGCGGCATTCGCCCGTCTGGTCACCTGAAGGAAACCAGATCTGGCTTAGAAGGTTTCCATACACACACCAACATGACAAAACTGAATCTGAGGAAAATGTGTTCACAGGCTTCAGGAAGACCAACTTCAGATGGTTTCTAACTGGGCAAAGCTGCTTGTTTTGGTCCATTAGATGGTTCAACCAACCGGTGCAGGTCAACCTAAACTGGCAGACCATCTCAGACCAGCAAGAAACCGGATACTGAGTTCCAAAACAAACAACAGCTAGTGAACTGCAAAAATGTGCAAGAAATTGTTCAAAGTGGTAAATGAAACAAAGATCATTAGAGTACATTTTACACGATTATTTCAGTCTTTCTACTTTTAATTATTTGTGAAATTTACTAGCAATTTATGTGTAAAAAAATAAAGTACATCCTACATTGTTTTGTTTTTTTTCAGTTTATGACCTGTTTTTTTTTTCATTATTAAATATTATTACAAATTTGTGTTTAATTGTAAAACTAAATAAATATAATAAATTAAGCAATTGAATTAATGGAAACAACGAACGAACAAATGAATGAATGAATGAATAAATAAATAAATAAACAGTACATTTAGCTTTTTTGCTAATTCTGACAAAATTAGACAGATTCTGTTGGTAAATTGGCAAAAATTCTGTCCAAATCTGATATAACTATGCCTTTTTTATTTTATGTATTTATTATTTTTTTAAATTCTGTCCAAATCTGATATAACTACGCCTTTTTTATTTTATGTATTTATTTATTTATTTTATTTTTTTATTCTGTCCAAATCTGATATAACTACGCCTTTTTTATTTATTTATAATTTTTTAATTTTTGTTAATAAAACTGACAAAATCAGACATTTTCTGACCAAATGATACAAAACTGGGCAGTTTTTTTGTTGTTGTTGCTAAATCTGACAAACATGGACAGTTGTTATTGGTAAATCAGACTAAATTTCTTTTTTTCTTTTTTTTTTTGCTAATCTGACGAGATTAGACCATTTATGACCAAATTGGACAAAACTGGGCTGTTTTTGCATTTTGAATTTTTTCCTAAATTTGACAAATTTAGACAGTTTCTGTTGGTTAATCGGACAAAATTAGACAGTTACTGACCAAATCTGAAATAACTTGACTGTTTTTGCTAAATCTGACTAAATTAGACAGATTCTGTTGGTAAATCGTACCAAAAAAAAACAGTTTCAGACAAAATCTGGCACAACTATGCCAACTTTATTTGCATACATACATTATACTTGTGGGCGATATATACTACATACAGCAAATCTCAACTGCTTGCATCGTCGCATAATGTAAAGTATATTATCATCTAACTCCAATCTGCTGAATGCAACTTTAAGGCATGAAGATATTAAGATACTCCAAAAAAGAATGATCGTTTTCTGTAAAGCTGCTTTGTGAAGAGTGCTATATAAATAAATTGAGCTGGACTCATCAGTGGTTTGAGGTGAATGTACGAGATGACACGCGTCGAGCCCCGCAGCACCTGCAACATCTGCAGCTGTTCTTATCAGACCTTCATCAGCCGCTCCCACGTCAGCCGTGTACTAATGTGCTAAAAGTGCGAGCTGAAGCTCAAACAAACATTCACAGTTCAGGTGTGCGAGACAGACGGGGTGAGAAACACTTTCATGCCTTAAAGTCCAGCTGTAAACCTCTGACATTCAGGAGCCGCCAGGAGAATATTTATGATGCATACAGTATATACTTACACTGCGCCGAAAACACAAAAACTAGTCCAGTGGCATTTTGGGGAAAAGTCGCAGCGGCTTTTAATTAAAAAAAGTCCTGTGAAGCCTAATTACTGAGAGACCATATCAGCGTGTGCTCGGCTGGACGTCCGTCACAAGACGTTCTCGGAACAGACCACAGAAATACATCGATTTCTCAAGAACAGGACATGATCACATGAATATGCAAAATGAGCCCAATTAATTGTGCTTTAAAGGAACAGTTTGCCTCAAAAGCATCATTTAAGCTAGCCTGTATGACTTTCTTTCGTGGAGCACAAAAGGAGAAAAGGAGCAAAGTAAAGGTCATTTCCATTGATAGATCTTAAAGCAGCGGTAGAAATAACAGCTTGTTTAATTTCTGAATGCCATAGACAGTGTTGTTATTGTAAAACTAAAATTATTAAAACGCTTTTCGTTATTTGAAATAAAGATGAAACACAATATCTTTTTTACATTTTGTATTGTTTTTAAGTTTTTAAATTTTAATAATATTTATATGAATAAAAGGTAAATATTAGATTAAATATTAAAATGTAAACTATTCAAATTGTTTTTGTTACCTGAAATAAGATTAAACACAATAAACACTTTAAAATGTTATATTTTATATATTTTTTATTGTTATATTGTTTTATAAGTTTACAAATTGTAATGCTTGTATTAATAAAATATAAATATTTGATTAAATATTAAAATATAAACTATTTAAACTTCTTTTATTAACTGAAATAAAGATTGAATACAATATATTGTTTACATTTTATGTTGTTTAATAAGTTTTACATTTTAATAATATTTATATTAATAAATAAAAAATGTTAGATTAAATATTAATATATAAATTATTAAAATGGTTTCCCTTAACCATGAAATAGATTAAACTATATAAATAAAAAAATATATATATTTTACATTTTTACATTTTACATTATTTTATAAGTTTAAAAATGTTATATTTATACTAATAAAATATAAATATTATATTAAATATTAAGATTGTTTTCGTTAACTGAATATGATAAAATGCAATATACAATTTAAAATTTTATAATTTACATTTTTAAAGTTTGATATTGTTTTATACATTTGAATTTTGTAATCATATTTATATTAAGAAAATACAAATATTACATTATTAGATTAAATAAATTAAAAAACACTTAAAAACAACTTAGAAATGTTGCCTTAGAAAATAAACTAAATAAAAAATAATATATTGAAGTATTAAAATTGCTAAAACTAAATAGAAAAAAGAAAAAAAAGAATAATGATAAATTCAAATAAAAGCACACAACAAAGTTACTAAAATGAAAATACAAAAATAAAAGTTAATTCAAACTATTAATAAATACTACAATAGTACATAAATAATACGGATGGAATATGGTCAATAAAAACAAACTCATGTAGCAAGAATCCCAAAATCTGTCAAAGAGGTTTCTTTAAGGTCTTCACTCTAAGAGTCGCTCACCTAAAGTTTTGGCCACCTCCAGGTCTTGTTGCATGTAGGCGGTGCTCTTCTCCGTGTTGCCCAGTGACCAGTAAGAGCTGCTGAGGGCCGAGAAAACCGAGCCGCGCAGCTTGAGGCTGCAGGTGCCGATCTTCAGCGCCGCCTCCAGGACCACCACAGACGCGCCGTGATGGGAGGCGGTCAGCAGCTCCTGACCAATCACAGACACCACCACAAACGGACTCTTGTCCAGCTTCATCTTCTGCAGCTGCTGGTAGGTCGGCTCCAGGGATTCTGCAGAGCCGATGCACACAAATCACAGCCAGAGTTAAGATGTGACATGAAACATTCCAAAAATATTTAGTGCAGTATTTGAAAGTAAATCTACCTTACAACTAAATACACATCTAACTGATTTAACATCATTTTACATTCATTTAAACAGCAAACATACAAAAATGAGATATTTTAAAACTATTTTGTAATAGTTAATATGTTGTCAGATCTGACAAGAAATTACACTAAATCTGATAATAAAAAAAAAAAAACAGTTTCTCACCAAATCGGACAAAACTAGGCAGTTTTTTTGCTAAATCTGACGTAATTAAACCGTTCTTTCTTGGTAAACTGGACATAATTATTCAGTTTCTGAGCAAACTGGACAAAACTGGGCAGTTTTTTTGCTTAATCTGTTTGCTTAAGTTGTTGTTGGTAAATTAGACAGTTTCTCACCAAATCGACAAAACTGGGTTGTTTTGCTAAATCTGACAAATTTGAACAGCTTTTAATGGTAAACTTGACAAAAGTATGCAGTTTCTCACAAAATTGGACAAAAACTGGGCTGTTTTTAGCTAAATCTGACTAAATTAAACAGTTGTTGTTGGTCAATCAGACAAAATTAGACATTTTCTGAGCAAATCAGGCAAAACTTATATGGCCGATTTTTTTTTTTTACTAAATCTGACGAGATTAGTTTTGTTGGTAAATCAGGCAAAAGTAGACATTTTCTAAGCAAATCAGACAAAACTGGGTTGTTTTGCTAAATCTGACAAATTTGAACAGCTTTTAATGGTAAACTTGACAAAATTATGCAGTTTCTCACAAAATTGGACAAAAACTGGGCTGTTTTTAGCTAAATCTGACTAAATTAAACAGTTGTTGTTGGTCAATCAGACAAAATTAGACATTTTCTGAGCAAATCAGGCAAAACTTATTTTTTTGTTGTTGTTTTTTCTAAATCTGGCATTATTGAACAGCTTTTAATGTTAAATTGGACAAAATTATGCAGTGTCTCACCAAATTGGACAAAAATTGGGCTCTTTTTGCCTAATCTGACAAAATTAAACAGTTGTTGGTAAATCAGACATTTTTAGACAAATTAGACATTTTCTGAGCAAAACGGACAAAACTGGGCGGGTTTTTTTGTTTGTTTGTTTTGTTTTTTGGCTAAATCTGACAAGATTATTATTATATTTTTTTTTTATGGTTAATTGGACAAAATTGTCTCACCAAATCAGATAAAAACTGGACTGTTTGTGGCTAAATCTAACAAAATTAAACAATTGTTGTTGGTAAATCAGACAAAATTAGGCAGTTACTTACCAAATCTGGCATAACAAGGCTGGGTTTTTTTTCTAAATTTGACACTATTAGACCGTTTTTATTGGTCAATTTGACAATATAGACAGTTTTAATAGACAATATAGACAAACTAATTTAGTCCGATTTAGATATTAAAACAAATTTTCTCAAAACGACAAAAGCGAATTAGACAAAATCAGACAATTTTAATGATAAATCTGACAAAATTGGGGCTATTTTCTCGTTAATTGTACATGCTAATAATATACACAGTACCTCGTGTCACTAGTATTACTAGCATTGGTGAGAGCTCATTCAGTTGTCTTTTGTTGACTGAACTTGTATTCAATTCATTTACACATTGCTAAAATGAAAAAATGTAATTCAGCAGGTTAAACACGGGCTCGTTTACTGTACAAACGCATTACAAACGACTGTAAAGCTAACACGGCTTGTTCAGTGAAACAGCTTTTGTTTGCACAAGCTGAGGTGATTATTCATGTATGTGTCGTCGCCGCACACTCCAAACAGACCTTCTTGTGGAAGTTTCTCACTAAAATGTTCACCTTAGAAATGCTTATTTGTAAAATAATCCCATGTGTTACTATGCGGTAAGATTTAGCGAGCACCATATGTGCAGAGGTGACCTCCGCCGGAGGAAGGAGACACAGTTAAAGAGTGAAACGCACACACTGTCATAAATCACGACAGGCCACAGTCGAGTGTCACCCGCTGCCCCGCGGGACCTCCAAAGATCCATTTTTATCTGCCCTTCCCTCGTTTTTCTGTAGCGTATCTATGAAGTATATTTCTTACTGTCCTTCTGGGTGTGTTTGATAGCCAATTCAGCATGTTTCATCTCGGCTGCACAAATGTGTACTGTCATAAGTGCTTTCACATCATATCCTGTATTTTATCACAGCTGGAACACCACATTGACCAATCAGCAACTATTAGTGTTATGATTTATACATTGCCATAATTATTGATTCTGAGTTGTTGTTTTTTTATGGTAAATTGGACAAAATTAAACATTTTCTGAGCAAACTGGACAAAACTTGTCTGTTTTTGCTAAATCTGACAATATTAAACTATTTTTTCATGGAAAATTTGAAAAAGTTAGAAAAAATCTGACAAAAATAGACATTTTCTGAGCAAACTGGGGAGAAAAAAAAGGGCTGTTTTTGCTAAATCTGACAATATTAAACAATTTTTGGTGGAAAAACGGACAAAGGTAGACATTTTCTGACCAAATTGGACAAAACTGGGCTGTTTTTGGCTAAATCTGACAAACAGTTTTTGTTGGTAAATCAGACTAAATTTGACATTTTCTGAGCATACTGGAGAAAAAAGAAAAAAAAAACCTGGGCTGTTTTATTTGCTAAATCTGACAATATGAATCAGTTTTTCAGTGGGAACCTGGGCTGTTAAATCTGACAATATGAATCAGTTTTTCAGTGGGAAATTGGACAAAATTAGACAGTTTCCACAGTTTCCCGGTCTAATTTGGTCTAAATTGGTCTAAAACCAGGATTTTTTGATGAAGAGAAAGTTCAAAAGAACAGCACATATTTGAAATAGAAAACTATTGTAAACTATTTAACACATTTTTATGAAATAATTATCCGCTATACTGTATTTCGTGCGATGGACAAAATCTAGTCAAATTCAGCATGAATGAATCTCCAGACTGTAAAAAGACACTTCAGGAACGCTGAGTGATTTCCGACATGTTTAATTCCCTCTTCACGTGTAGCCGACAGGCGTGAACGTCCTCTGCCGCGGGCTACAAACACTCCGCTGGGTTTGTCGTGCGCATTCATACCGCGTAATTGCATTCAGCCTGACACTTTTACAAGTTGCATAAATCGAAGTGGCGAGAAACTCTTTGGCTTGGGGACGGAAGTGAGTGTGTGTGTGTGTGTGTGAATCTAGTTAACAGCAGACACAGGCATGATAAACAAGAGCGCAGAAGTGCTTATGCAGCCCGCCACGGAGAGGAGGGTTTAATGATGAGCCTCTGGGTGCCTATCTTTCCTTCCTCTCAACGCTTTTCTCTTTCTCTTCGCCGCTTCCCTCTCTTCTGTCGAGAGGCTTTGCCATGTGAAACAGAAGCTTTGACGTGTCTGTCTGGCGTCTCGTGGGAAGCAGCTAAATAAAGAAATAATAACAGAGACTGACAACAACA